CATGATTTTCGCAGTCCACTACTTTGGGCATCAGTGGTGTTATTCTTACTTGTGAATGTGCATGGTTTGTCCTTCACCTAATTCTTACCATTTGGTTAGCACTCAAATTCAACTAGAATGTAATAGGTAACTTATTTTTCAGAATGGCACGCTGCATTTGTGTTGTCTTTTCTTCCACTATCGGTAAGCATATATATCTTCAATGTTCACTGCCAATTTATAATTTTGTTTCACTTTGGAGGAAGGATAAATAAAGGACTAATGGTTTTATGAATTGAAGGTGGTTCTGGCTGTTGGAACAAAACTTCAAGCAATTATAACTCGAATGGCACTTGACATAAAAGAAAGGCATGCTGTAGTGCAGGGTATCCCTCTTGTGCAAGTTTCTGATAAGTACTTCTGGTTTCAATGGCCCCAGTTAGTTCTTTATCTCATTCATTTTGTCCTCTTTCAGGTATTCAATATTTTCCTTTTTCTAACACCATCATAACTACTTCTTCATCTTAATTATAACAATTTTACACAAACTTGTAATCATTATGTGGTTGCATAAACCGCAAAATTGCAATATTGTAGCCGCTAGGGATATTTGAAGATTATGAATATTTGAGATTTGTAATCAGCTTAACAAATTGTTAATTTGAGATTATGAATATTTGAAGAGTTTCTTGCAACTTGATGCTTTGTTTTACATGTCCAGAATGCATTTGAGCTGACATTTTTCTGCTGGACATGGGTAATAAACTGTTCCTAGTGTCTTCTTTTGACAACTGTGTAGTTTTTCTTCTGGATCCTTAGAATCATTGCTCTCTGATGCAGTATGAATTTGGCTTGGGTTCTTGCTTTTACGAGGATAAGTTTTTTATGTTCTTCAGAGTTGCTATTGGGTAAGTCATGGAATAGTTATGTTGAACTTAACAGTTGCACGAGTAGAGAAGTTCACATGTGACATTAATCGCTGTTTGTTCCATGAGTTTAATGTGTTGAACTAAGGGCAGCGTAAAAGCTTTTTATACTGTCCACACTGACAATGCACAAACTATTTTCTGATGTTGGTATTTTAGAGTTTATAAAAACAAGCACATAGATACATTTCTGCAGCATCTTGAACTTGAATTGCCAATGTTAAACAGACATGCTATGTTCATTACAGTGCCTACAATGTAGTATTCTTAAACCTATATAAAATACTAAACTGATATATTTCTCAGGATCGGAACACAAATCGTCTGCAGCTATGTCACACTTCCACTCTATGCACTTGTTACTCAGGTACATCCATTTTGTTTTGGTTAGCAAGTTTTACAAGTACTACACCACATGATATATGATATGCATGTAAAACTGATAGAGAAAGTTTGCTATGGCCAATGTCAGATGGGTTCAACAATGAAGAAGTCAATATTTGATGAACAAACATCGAAGGCGCTGAAAATGTGGCATAAGAATGCTCTGAAGAAGGCAAATTCAAAGGGGCGCGGTACAGAAGTTCGAACATTGGGTGGTAGCCCAGGACATTCACCACAACATTCACCACACGCAAATGAAAATGCTGGCACTAACAAAATAGTAGCAGCAGAAACACAAATGACTCAACAGAACGCCGCCAATATAGTCACCACAGTGGATCATAATCAAAACCAGCAGTATGAAAACATTGACCTTCTAAGTGGGCCTTGACTGATATATAGTGGACAAAGTTGAGGTTGTGATTGCTGCAACATTTTTTGATTGATTACATTACTGAAATTGAGGTTAATGTAAATAACAACCACTTAATGATGCATCATGGAATTGTTTCAACAGATATCTTAGCACAGTTTAAAATTGATTGTATTGTACTTGATGAACATGATCAAGGGCGCAGTACATTTTTGCATGGACTGCTGTCACATAAATACATATTCATATATGCTGATTTATCATATTGTATAAAGTTACATAGAAATACATGTAATATTGTGCTGATATGACTTGTCATGAAAAGTTTAAGGGTAATACTATCCAATAATTATTGACCTTGAATTTTCAAAAGCTAGGATCTTCCTTTATTTGCAATCTCCCAAGTAACCTGTGAGCCATCCTTTTTAGAGTGTGCACCTTTTGGCGCTAGCATTTTGTTTGGATGAGAGGATAACATGGAAGGATAGAAACTTTGGAGAAAGAAACAGATGAAAAGTCTTCTATTTAACTCCTATTCATTTGTGTGGGTCTAAGAAAAGTAGTAACTAGTAAAGCTACTATAATCGGTTGTTTATGGTTCCTATGGTAGCAGCCAGTTGCTTTTTTTTAGAATCACTTAGTTGGCTCAATATGTGAAGTCACTCTTGATGACTTGTAAAAGTCTTTAGATGATTTGTAAAGTTCAAATTTCCTTTTCATGATTTGTGAAGTTCAATTTTCCTTTTCCTTAATTTTGCCATGCTATAATCATGTTAATGCTGCATTCTATCTTAAAACTCCATTCACCGTATATTAGGATGAATAGTCTTGGAGGGAAAGAAATAGAAAACCAATGTTTCAGAGTATGTCAGAAGTGTATCTCATAACTTATAAGTATTCCCTTTCTCTTACTTCTCATTCAAAACTCAACTCGCACAATTGGACCTAGAAACTAGAATGCAGAGTAGAAAGGGTAGGTGGAATGTGAGATATGACTTGTGAGAAGAGTGAAGAGCTTTTTTCTGCAAACGTGTTCTGTTTGTGTGTAATTTTTATGAAGAGCTGCTTTGCAGCTACTTTTGTTAGAGTCAATTAAATATCAAGCTTTTGGGTCCATTATTGATTCTCAATACCCACCAAAAAAAGGAAAATTTGGGACCATCTGCAATTACCTTGCATGAGGAACTAAAGCATAGTGCAATCCAGTGGATAATTAACTTTGCATAATATTTTATATATTTTAAGTTACAATTTTTATACTATAATCGTTATTGGAATTAGGAGTGAATAAGACATGGCCTAACCCTACCCGCTCAATCAGTTTAGGGTTAGGTTTAGAGTTTGAGTTCAAAAATTAAACCAAAATATATTAGGATAAGTAGGAATAAGCATGATTAGAGTTCGGGACTTGTCTCAATAGTCATTCACTTATTTTGTATGTCTCTATTCAATTGTGTACAGAAATATACTTATCTTACCCTATGGTTTACTTATATAATGCTACTCTAAGAAGTGATGAGAAGTAAATGGAATAATACGCTCTTTCTCTTCTCTTCTTAGTCATTTCCTTTTTCAACAAACAAAACCAAAAGAAGAAATCATTCTCACATGACTCGTCTTATTAGATTTTTAACCGACGACCACCCCTCTCCTCATTCCTCCGTCGTTCACTCCGATTACGTCGTCATTCTCGCCGCACTCCTCTGTGCTCTCATCTGCGTCCTCGGCCTCCTTGCCGTTGCTCGCTGCACCTGTCTCCGCCGCCTCCGTATCTCCTCCGCCGCCTCCGTATCTCCTCCACCTCCTCCTCTCCCTGCACCCAACAAAGGCCTCAAAAAGAAGGTCCTCCGCTCCCTTCCCAAGCTCACTGCCACAGCTGAATACGCTGTCAAACTATCCGATTGCGCTATCTGCCTGACTGAATTCGCTGCCGGCGAGGAGATTCGAGTGCTTCCTCACTGCGGCCATGGATTCCACGTCAGCTGCATCGACACGTGGCTCAAATCGAATTCTTCGTGTCCGTCGTGCCGTCAGATTCTGACGGTTTCACGGTGCCAGAAGTGCGGCGGTTTCCCTGCCTCCACCAGCTCGAAGGTTATGGAAAGAGAGAACGATGGTAATAGGTTCTTGCCTTAGTGGAAAAAACCTTCAATTAGCTTTCGAATCCTTTATTTATTTATTTACTAATATTGTCTATATAATATTGAATATCAGTTGTGTTTAGTTTTATTTTTTATAAATTTGAATCAGCATAGAGGATTGTAGTTAACAATTGTAATAATAATCTGATTTGATTATGTGCATCTTTCTCTCATCTTAATTTGATTATATATGTTGTCATTTGGCCAAACTTAATATATGACAAATTAAACTTTACCTAATGAATTTTTTATTTTTATTATTTATGTGACAATTTCTAATTAATTAGGACAATGAATTGAGACAGATTTTGGAAGAGCATGTCCTATTTCACCTAACAAATTAACAATGAACAAGAAGTAGTGGCCTTAGTATCACACCTCAATTTCCTCAAAGTTGTGGTCTTTGTGGGTAATAGCACACCTCAATTTCCTTATTGTAGATGAACTCTAGTAAGTGACACAGGCCAATGTCAATTTCAAACAAACAACATTCTTAAGAGCTAGTACTATTTGGGTGTTCCTCCAACCATATATACACACTTTAAAATGCATTTCAAATATGTCACCCTATCAATATGTTACATTTCCTGATGAGTGATTGCATTAAATTTACAACCAAGTCGATGCATATTGATTGGCTTGAAGAAGTGTCTTTATGCGTTTTTCCTTTGCAAAATAAAGAGTTCACGCTCATTCAACATGTTGCTAATCCAACATACACAGTTACACACACTCTATAGTCTTTCTTCATTGGGAATTTCTCTTTAAGTTGTCTTACAATATATGATTTTATTTTCGCATTGATCATATGGCCGCTAGTAAATAACTACCATAAGAAACAATTTTTTAGTGTGGTATCTGAACATTACACAGTGTCAACTAATTCGAATTTGAGGTGAACAATATTAAATGGTGCACTACAAAATATTCCATCAAATATGATTCATTTAAAGTGGAAGCATATTTTCTACCAAATAAAAAAAATATGTTACAAGATGTACAATTTTAAAAAAGTGTAGTGCCATGCATGGCAAACGGGTGGATGTATTTTAAATCTTAAAGGAATAAAATTACTAGTCTTAATCGAAACAGAAATGATAGTTGATAACCCACTAGAGATGAATAATTAAAGAATTAGGACTATAAAGGAGCTAAGACACTAGATATGATTGAATAGTACTTGTGTTGTGGAGAAATGACATAAGGTTTCCACATCCACGGTTCTTTAAGGGTGGAAATAGAGTTGTAGTATGAAAATGACTAGCACCTAATTAATGTATTTGCCCTTTTTAAGGTGAGTTGTGTTAATATAGGTTTATGAAGGACTTTTCATAATGAAAAAGTGAACCTGACGTGAATCGAACACGCAACCTTCTGATCTGGAGTCAGACGCGCTACCATTGCGCCACAGATCCAATTCATGTTCAACCACTCCTCTTGTTCCAAGTTATCAACAATTCATTCATCAAGTTTGTAATAATAATAATAATCATAAATGAAATAGTTAGGTTGAAGTTGAAGGGTGAGGAAGGAGATGATGGCGTGCGTTCACTCTGGTTTTGTTTGTATTCTTGTAACTTTCTCTTCTCATTCTATCGTATTGTTGTTGAATGAATGTGTTGAATGAATTGTTGTTGAATGAATTGTTGAATGTGTATATGTAGCCTTGCTCCAACCATCGCAATCGTATTCGTATTCGCATTCGCATATCAAATTCAGGGATCTCCAAATTCAGCACTCAACAATTGAAGCAACGTTTAACAATTTCCATTTCCAAATTTCATCATCAACTTGTTACTTCCAACCTCCTACCACTCCCCTCCCTCCAGGTACCCCTCTTTTCTTTTTCTTTTTCTTTTTCTTTTATTTAATGCCATACACTCACTCTATTCATAGCTCTCAAATACTACTTGTACAACTACATCCATAAGCTTATTCAAATTATGTCCTTCCTTAATGCTTTGGTTTCTGTATTTATGTATTTTTACTTTTTCTCTTGCAGTTGAATGGAAGCAAGTTTCCCATTTGGGTGTGTGTTGCGGTTGTTGTTTTGGTCGCAACAATGCGGGAACTGTTTTCCAGAACCAGAAGAAAGGAAATCCCTGGTTCCGTAGCTGATCTCGTCAGACGTGGCCAACTTCGATCTGATAGAAGAGGCATGTATGACTTCCATCCCTACTATACCATCTCATTCCTTTTAACTCTTTCATTTTATTATCATTATTATTTATATGTATGTATGTATGTATGCCTATAACATTCAATTTATCCATTCTAATAAATCATGCTTACAATTATAACACCCTTGTGTGGCTATCTCTATTTTTATATCCATATTTTTCAGATCAAGGCCTCTCAAGTATGAAGATCCATTCAATAATCCCTTGGTCAAGGTTGGAAAAACCAACTCAACTGTTGAGATGTGCGGAAAGGTTTACCGCTTAGCGCCTGTTACTCTGACTCAAGAACAACAAACCATCCACCAGAAAAGGAGGTCCCGTGCATACCACTGGAAGCGACCTACTGTCTTTCTTAAAGAAGGAGAGTCGGTTCCTCCGGATGTTGATCCTGATACAGTTAGGTGGATTCCTTCTAATCATCCCTTTGCAACTACTGCTGTTGATCTTGATGAGGACTTGGCACAGAGCAATGTGTATCAAAAGCATGGTGTTCCTTTCCGTATTAGAGCTGAGCACGAGGCTCTGCAGAAAAAGCTTGAAGCCCTACAAAATGTAAGCCTCATTAAAATAAGTAAAATTCAATTGTGTTTTGCTTCATATGATTTTAGAATATGCTGTGCAAATGCTGTCATGTCTGTATCCAACGTTTTTTTTTTTTGGGTTTAGCATTTCTAACTAATAGAGACATTGTTTTCATAATTCAACTTCAATTTAACCAGTGTCACTCACTCTTGTCACCCTCATACTATATTATAAATCCAAAATCAAAACAGAATGTAAATACTCTCTGTCTCTGATTTTGGGATTTTTATTATAATGGAATGACATTTGAAACCAGGTACTATAAATTTGATAGGGTGCTGCCATTTGTTAGACAAATAGTCTAACTCGACTTTGTTTCTTTCCCGGCATGTATTAGCGTTTAACATGTCAGTTTTTGGTGTTTTGGACTTTCGGATGTGGCTCAAGTCCTTGACATGAGGAAGTTGACTGACTCTATTCATTAAAAAGAAGTATATTCTGACGTTCTTCTGCCTAATTTGGTCCACCACTGAAATTTTTTGTATTACCTATTCTGCAGGAACAAAAACTCAATAAACTGGTGATAGATCCTGCCAATGCTAAAGAATTTGAGAGACCACTCAACTCCCATGCCAGATTAAATGATAATGTAGAGAAGAGCCCTTTAAACATTCAACATCAAGCCAGTGATTCTCCCTCCCCTAAATTAGATGGTGGCCCTAATCATTTTGAAAGTGCAACGTCATTCGAAGAAGATCTGAGTCTTTAGATTTGCATGTATTTTTCCAAGTTAAAATTACTGAGGTGGACCATGAATCTCCAAATGAAGCTGTATTTTTGGGTAACAAAATCTCCAATGAAACCAAAAATATAGAGTTGCATTTGCCCAAATTTTTGTACTTCATGGGGGAGCCGTAAAATTGTTAAATTGTATAGTGAGTATTGTAAATAGATTTTCTTTGCTGCGTATTGTCAAAGCTAAGCTGTTTTTCAGATTTCACCATTTATTTTATGAGTGTTACTGTTGGGAGATTTTACACTTATTCCTGCCCCAACCCCTACTTTTTGTTAAGGATATCTTGTTTGCCTGTAAAATTAATTTCACTTTTTGGCTGTGATACCAAACTTTGGGTGAACTATATCATAAAAGTTGGTTGCATGCTGGTCCCTTTGAATTGTATCAAGTAAACATTGCAATCAATGGAAGACTGATATTGATACAAACTTTGATAAAATTATATCACAAAATTATAGTGCATTAAGTTTGGTCAGCCTGCCAGTAATAGCAATTGAATTAATCGATGTTCAAGGACAGAGTAAAGGCACTTGAACAAATAAGGAAGTCTTAAATAAACTGTGTTTAATTTAGGTGCATCAATCACAACATTGGTTAATAAATAAGATAAATGTTAACAAATTCATGATATTGTTTAAACAAGTTAAAAAAATATTAATTTCATATTGAAAAATATTGTGACCTCTAGCTCAATAGCAGTCAATCCTGCTGCTTAGTATTTTTGTTTTGTTTTTGCTCTTTGGGGAGTAATGCCTAGATATATATTTTTTGGGCACAATGATCGATATGCACCAAAAGGAATATTATGCTTGAGATGAAATTCTAATAGTATGGAGCCATTGATTTAATGATAATAATAATAATAGTAATGGTAGAGAATCTTGAAATTTGCAGCAAACTCTGCATCAAAGGGTTTATCATGCACCTTTAGTACAATCCTGAAGAGTATTTCCACTCTAAAATGCAAAAATATTATTTTCACTCATTCTTGACAGAAGCAGCGTGCTTAGCACCAACAGCAAAGAATTCAGTGATTATTTCAAGGGGCATGCCTTTTGTTTCTGGAACCTTGAAAAACACAAATATCCACGAGATGAAACAGACTATCGCGTAAATGGTGAAGACACCAGCCAGTCCTATTGAACTCAGCATTACAGGCAGTGAGTATGTAACAATGATGTCTGCAATCCAGAACACTAAGCCACAGATAGCGATGCAGAGTCCACGGACCCTTGTTGGAAAAATCTCGGCGCAGAGGATGTTTGGAATTGGTCCATAGGCCATCACAAAGATGCAGAAGTAAACCACAACGCAAACAGTTGAGACTGCTGCATTGACAACTCTGCCAAAGTCTACCATGCTTCCAATAATCAAAATGAGGAGTGACACTATCAGCACAGGAATTGTAACCAGTAGCAGTTGCCTGCAAATTATGGAGTTTGTTATTGACAATCAAATCAACATGAACATAAGAAAATAGTAAAAAGATTTAGTTCGAATAGAAAACAGACGGAGCCGGTTCATACCTTCTGCCTGAGACATCCATTAGCCTCATGGCTAAGCCAATACATGGAAGCATCAACAAGGTTGTGAGAGAACTGATAAGGAATGATGCAGATTCTGAGCCAATTCCTAGATTTGAAAGAAGAACTTCAACACCAGCTTCTTCAAGGATTTGAGGTGTGTAATATAGAACCCCATTTATTCCTGAAAACTGAACATACATGTAGAATTAGGCATTAGTCATTGATAAGAAGGCCTAAATAAATAAGTTGATGCAGTAAAGTGGAAAAAGAATAATAAATTCAAATAGGAAAAGCGAAAGGTAGTGTGCATGGTGAAACCACATCTTACCTGCTGAAGTAATTGTATTCCAATCCCAACAATCAATGCATGCTTAACCCCTGGTTCAAGAAGAGCTTTCCAAATTGGCCCCTTGGAAGAAGTCTCGGACGGGTGAACCATTGCAGGCCCAACTGGTTGCTGACCAATAAGGTGCTTGGAGTAAAGAGCAGATTGGCTTACCAATGCAGCAGCCTGGACAAATTCACCTTCCCCGGGAATTGATGCAATCGACCCATTTCGAGATACATGAACTCCCTCCTGATGCAAATAGATTCTTTTAAACTCTCCTTCCTTTTTACTATCATCAGTCCATTTCCACGCCAGCTGCCAGCCTCCACCGATGTCTGTACTATCAACTGCCTCACCCGAACCTTGCATGAGAGTATTGTGATGATGCCTCAGGCTGCTCACATTACTTCCTGGAGAAGGAGGCATATCCTTTTCATGGCTTATCGATTGATGCGATAACAAAGGACTATGCAAATTGTCATCAGAGTCCCTACCACCACCATCTGACTTATACTCCTCACCATCTCTTTGTAGGCTCTCTTCATCCCATTGTTCAGTTTTAACATTAGGATCACCTGTGCTGAACATGCTTCCAAAATTTGGAAAATGAGTGCTTCTCATGCTTCCTGTGTCAGAGAGCTTCTCATGAACACTACCAAATAGAGTCACAACAGGATCCATTAGAGGTATAGTTTGATTGAAAATGCTTCCATGGCGTGACACATGACCCAGAGAACTCTGTCCTGTGACAGGTTTTGCCAACCATGAGTGGCCTTGTTGCGATCCATATAATCGGATTTTATCTTTATCTGTTGTATGTTCATCACCATCCACTACCTCATCAGTAGCAGGGCCTATTACATACTCTTCTATACTTGTATCACCTCCAACCTCAAGACCTTCAACCAGCAATGCCATCTCACCTGTATCACTAAATAGAGTCTTAATAAAAGATGATTGATGCTAACAATAAAAAAAGAGGATATCTG